TAGCAAACACTAACCTCAGTAGTGAAAGACTGAAAGCTTTTCCTCTAAGATCAAGATCAGGGCAAGGATGCCCATTTTGACCACTTCTATTCAACATAGTACTGGAAATTTTAGCTAGAACAATCAGACAAAAATAAATAAATAAATAAATTTTCAAAAACCATCCAAATTGGAAAAGAGGTAAAATTGCCTCTGCTTGCAGTTGAGATAATCTTACATGTAGAAAACCTTAAAAACTACATGCACACATACACACACACACAGAGTAGAGCTAATAGATAAATTCAACAAAGTAACAGAATACATAGTTGACACATAAAAATCGGTTGCACTTATATACACTACCAATGAACAATCCAAAAAGGAAATTATGAAAACAATTCTACTTACAGTAGTATCGAAAAGAATAAAATACTTAGGAATTAACTTTATCAAGAAGACGAAAGACATATAATGAAAACTATAAAATATTGCTTGTATTATGAAAACTATAAAATTAAAGAAGATATAAATACATGGAAACACACTCCATATTCATTGACTAGAAAACAAAAACAATCAACAAATTCAATGAAATCATTTTCAAAAGCTCAATGCCATTTTCAACAGAAATAGAAAAACTCTTCATAAAATTTGTATGAAACTTGAAGGACCTGAATAGCTGAAACAATCTTGAAAACTTACAACGAGGCTGTAGGACTCCCATTTCCTGATTTCAAATCCCAGTTCAATGTTCTAGTAATCAATAGACTAATAAACTTGCTATGAAGCAACAGTTGTAAAAAAGGATACGATAATCTATAGTCTGTAGACATATAAACCAATGGAATAGAACAGAAAGCCCAGAAAGAAACTCTCACATGGGTGGACAGATGATTTTTGACGAAGGCACAAAGCCCATTCAATAGAGGAAAGAAAAGTCATTTGAGTAAATATGTTGAGAAAACTGAAAATCCATATGCAAAAGAATGAAGTCAGACTCTAACTTACACTATCTAAAAAGTTAATTTGGGAACCAGCAGTTAGCGTAATGGCTATGTTGCTGGACTCCCATGTAGTCGACCGCGGTTCGCATCCCGGACCCGGTGGCTTAAAACTCACGCCGGGCACGTGTGTGTGCGTGCCCAAGATCCCGAGAGGAGAATGGAGGAGAAGGGATTGCGGCGTGGCCTCCCCGCCACGGGGGGTGATTTCTCGCTTTCTGTCTCTATGTCTCTCTCTGTCTGTCTGGCAAGTGCACGTGCCCTATAGCGAAAATCTCTCTCTCAAAAAAAAAAAGTTAATTCAAAATGAATCAGTGACCTAAATGTAATACCTAAAACTGTAAACCCCTTAAAAGAAAACAAAAAGGCAAAGCTTTACAACTTTGCATTTGGCAATGATATTTTGCATATGACACTAGAGGCATGAGAAATAAAATCTGTGCATCCAAAGGCAATGTCAACAGAATTAAAAGGCAACTCATGAAATGAGAGAAAATATTTTTAAATCACATGATGATAAGGGATTAATACAATATAGAGAGAGCTCCTAATACTCCATAACAGAAGAATAATCTGATTGAAAAATGGGGAAAAGATTTGAACAGACACTGCTCCAAAGATGATATATTGATGGCCAATAAGCACATAAATAGGTGCTCAATATCTCTTTTTCTTTCTTTCTTTCTTTCTTTCTTTCTTTCTTTCTTTCTTTCTTTCTTTCTTTCTTTTTTTTTTTTTTGAGAGTTTTGCTTTTGTTTTTGCTACAGGGTGCATGCGCTTGCCAGAGAGACAGAGACAGAGAGATAGAAAGTGCGAAATCACCCCTCAGGGGGGATGGCCATGCTGCAATCCCTTCTCCATTCTCCTCTTGGGATCGTGGGCACACACACATGCACCCAGCATGAGTTTAAGCCACCGGGTTCAGGATTTGAACCACGGTTGACTACATGGGAGTTCAGTGACATAGCCATTAAGCTAACTGCTGGCCCCGGGAGATTTTTTTTTTTTTTGCTATAAGGTGTGTGCGCTAGCCAGAAAGACAGAGAGAGACAGAGAGACAAAAAGCAAGAAATCACTCCCCAGGGGGGATGGCCATGCCACAATCCCTTCTCCTCCCTTCTCCTCTTGGGATATTGAGCATGCACGCACACGTGCCCAGTGTAAGTTTAAATCACCAGGTTGGGACTCGAACCATGGTCAACTACATGGGAGTCCCAGCCATTACACCAACTGCTTGTCCCAACATCTCTTATTATTAGGGAAATACAAATCAAGATGACAGTGAGATACCACCTCTAACCCAGTGGGATGCATGGGTTAGGGGGGAAAAAAAACCCCAGAAAATAGCAAGTATTAGCAAGGATATAGAGAAATTGGAACACTTGTGCACCATTGGTGGAAACGAAAAGTGGTATAACAGTTACGAAAGAGTGCGACAGTTCCTCAAAATATTAAAAATAGGGACCAGCAGTTGGCGTAATGGCTATGTCACTGGACTCTCATGTAGTCGACCGTGGTTCGAGTCCCAGACCTGGTGGCCAGCTGTGTGTGCGTGCGTGCCCAAGATCCTGAGAGGAGAATGGAGGAGAAGGGATTGAGGCATGGCCATCCCCCCAGGGGAGTGATTTCTTGCTTTCTGTCTTTCTGTCTCTCTCTGTCTTTCTGGCAAGCGCACGTGCCCTATAATAAAAACCTCTCCAAAAAATTAAAAATATTAAAAATACATTTACTATGTAATCCCATAATTGCAATAGTAGGTATATACCCCAAATAACTGAAACAGAGATCTTGGGATACTGGACATGCACACACATGTGCCTGGTGTGAATTTCAAGCCACTGGGACCAGGACTTGAATCACAGTCAACTATGTGGGAGTCCAGTGATGTAACCACAGCATCATCTGTTGGTCCCAAGGTTGAGCATCTTTTCATAATTTTATAATATTGGCCCTAGGAGAACCTCCCTCATGTTTATTGTGCATGTCTTCAGGAGTTGTCTTTTCTTGTGATTGATGTGAAATTCTTTGTAGACTGTGACGTGAGTCCTTGGTTACATATATGCACGGCAGATATCTCTCACTTGTCTGCTCATTCTCTTACAGGTGTCTTCTGGTGAACAGAATTAAAAAAAAAAAATCTTGCTATAGGGTACATGAACCCTCCAGAAAAATAAAGATACAGAGTGAGAAGTCACCCCTCCCCCGGGGGGGAGGGGATAGCCATCCACAGTTCCTTCTCCACTCTCCTCTCAGGATTTTGAGCATGCGTGCACATGCATCCAGCATAATTTTCAAACTGCCGGGTCCGGAACTCTAACTGCAGAGCTGGCGTGTGAGATCTAGTTACCTTAACCTCCATGTACCTGCTGGCCTGAAATTATTTTAATATAGGCTAATTAATCCACTTCTTTTCCTTTCTGGTACTACTTTCTGGATCCTGTTTACGAACTCCTTTCTAGGCCTGCCTCCTGCCCCATAGAGCAGAGCTTAAGCACTGCACAGAGGAAGCTGGATCTCAAAAGGCCAACCAGGATTTGAGTCCCAGTCTGACGGCTTGAAAAACATGCTGAGCGAGTGCACACCCAAGACCCTGATAGAATGGAGATTTGGAGGAAAATAATTACAGAATGTCCAGATCCCTTTGGGAGATTTTTTTTTCTCTCTCTCCCCTGTACCCTAGCTCTCGCTCATGTATGCATGTGTCCTCTGGCATAAAACAATATCTAAATTTAAAAAGAACCCCTTTCTGACTCTGAAATGAATTGACCAGCTTTCAAGGGGTATGGGAACTGAGACTTTGTTTTCCATACCCTCAGAGCCAGCTAGTGAGGCCCTTCCTCAGACCCTGGCCTAACCTTTCAGAGCCCCTTTCTCACAGCTCACATCCCTGGACCAAGGTGAAGGGGACTTCCTTGGTGTCCAGCTCACACTCAGGAGTGACTAGACAGTACAGACCCCTATGCTGGGAAGCACAAATAGAATCCTCCAGATGGGCAAAAACTGAGCCCAGAAGAGGAAAATGCCAGGATAGGCACAGGCCTTGAATCTGGTAGTGCTACTGAGTTCACCAAATGTGTGTCAGTGATAAAGGCTTGGCTGCCAGCCCTTCCCTCATTGAGGGAGCCCCCAGGTCAGGCCATGGGCACCCTCATAGGCATACCACATTGGAGAGAGAGCAGAGGTGGGGAAGAGGGGAGAATCTTGGGAGCCACCTGACGGCCTGCGTGACCTACACATGTGGAGCTGCCCTGAAGCCATCCCAGAGAGGCTCACCCCACCAAACTGGAGCAGAGATGTGTTACATGCCTAAATGCAGTGTCTCCAATCCCTGGGCCACGGCAGTCCCTGGCCTGTTAGGAACTGGGCTGCACAGCCGGAAGTAAGTGGCAGATGAGTGAGCAAAGCTTCATCTGTATTTACAGCCGCTCCCCATCGAGACCCTGGCCTAACCTTTCAGAGCCCCTTTCTCACAGCTCACATCCCTGGACCAAGGTGAAGGGGACTTCCTTGGTGTCCAGCTCACACTCAGGAGTGACTAGACAGTACAGACCCCTATGCTGGGAAGCACAAATAGAATCCTCCAGATGGGCAAAAACTGAGCCCAGAAGAGGAAAATGCCAGGATAGGCACAGGCCTTGAATCTGGTAGTGCTACTGAGTTCACCAAATGTGTGTCAGTGATAAAGGCTTGGCTGCCAGCCCTTCCCTCATTGAGGGAGCCCCCAGGTCAGGCCATGGGCACCCTCATAGGCATACCACATTGGAGAGAGAGCAGAGGTGGGGAAGAGGGGAGAATCTTGGGAGCCACCTGACGGCCTGCGTGACCTACACATGTGGAGCTGCCCTGAAGCCATCCCAGAGAGGCTCACCCCACCAAACTGGAGCAGAGATGTGTTACATGCCTAAATGCAGTGTCTCCAATCCCTGGGCCACGGCAGTCCCTGGCCTGTTAGGAACTGGGCTGCACAGCCGGAAGTAAGTGGCAGATGAGTGAGCAAAGCTTCATCTGTATTTACAGCCGCTCCCCATCGCTCACATTATTGCCTGAGCTCTGCCTCCTGTTGGATCAGCAGTGGCAGTGGATTTTCATAGGAGCCTCCAGATGGGACTGCCTGGTTGCAGGAAAACAAGCTTAAGCACCCCCTGATCCTGTACTGTGGTGAGTTATACGATTGTGTCATTATGTAGTACAATGTAAGACTAAAGGAAACAATGAGCCCAATAAATGTAATGCACTTGAATCATCTCACAATCATCTCTCCGACCTGGTCTGTGGAAAAACTATCTTCCTGCAGCCCCACAGTGCTCCCCAGCAGTGACAGAAGACCCCACCCAGAACAACAGAGAAAGGAGGATCAGGCAGCAACACAGTAAGGAAGAGCATTGCCAGCACAGAAGAAATACAAACATTTCTCACCAAATGTGAAGGAATTAAGGAAAACCTAATCTGAAAGAAAATCTCTACAAACAAACACAGAGGGACACACCCCCAGTTCTCCCCTGGGCCTTCTGAGGACCCCAGCACCCAATTTTACCTTGCTGTCCATGTGGGTCCCAAGGTACAGTGCCTCCCTTTCACATGTCATCTAGGTGGAAGCACCTAATTACCCCTCAGCGCCCAGGCCCGCTGCACAGTGCCTCTGCAGCCAGCACACTGGGAGGTGAAGCCTCTGGTTTGGGGTCCTGGAGTGGAGTGGTGGGCAGTGGAAGCTCCTGGTCACACAGCGGGTGTGTGTATGAGTAACAAAGAAACCTTTACTGTTTTTTAGCCCCCAGGCTGTGGGACTACCTTCGTAGCTGAGTCCATCCTGATCCATGTCAGGACCAAAAGGTTCTCAGATTACTGTTCATTCTCACAGGCCCTGTGAATAGACTTTATCCCATTTTGCAATAAGAACACCAAGGTAGATCAAGGTCGGGCGTCCTGCCCAGGGCACTGACCAGTCCTCAAGGCTTGGGTGGCCCTGATCTTTAGACTCCGATTCACCCCACTGCTCACTTCTCAGGAAATAAAAAGAGAGCGCCACAAACCCTGGGACATCGGGGAAGCACCTTAGAAGCAGCAAGCAGTGGAATAAGCCCTTCTGAAAACAGCCAGGGCCGTGAGTGACAGAACTGAGAAAGCTCGTTCGTCTATTCAAACACTTCAGCACCCATAAAGTGCCAGGCACTTACCTCGATGCTCCAGGAACACCTGGGAGCAGAAGTAAGCTCCCCACCCAGAGCCCAGACTCACCGCGCCAGATCCAATGGAAAGGAAAACGTTTGAAAGCACAGAGAGAAGTGAGGCTTAGAAGACAGGCAGACCGGTTACACAATAAACACTGCTGGCATTTCCTGAAGAGGATAAAACAAATGGAAACAATTTTTTCCCAAAGATATAATAAAAGAAATTGTTCCTTAAATAAAAGAAGCCCCAAATCTACAGATGAAACCAGTTATCCCCGAGACACTGTGTCCCAGGGATAACTGGTAAACAGTGGCCAGGAGCTGGAACATTTGGGGGCGAGGACAGACTCCAGGAATAAAGAACGTGGTGAATACACAGACAGGAAGCACGGGGAAAGACGAGACTGGTCTGACACCTTCTCGTGGACTATTCTAGAAGACACAGCAGCCCTGTGGACTTGGTTTTAGAGCTCACTTTCTGGGTGGGGGATATGAGGCCGAGAAGTCCTCGGTACCACAAGAGGTCTTAGGTCCAGGTAAGCACTCGCAGCACCACAGGGACCTCCCCTCCACCCCCGCCCCCCAGCCAGTCTGCCCAGAGAGACGCAGGAGAAGAGCCACAGCTGCCTACCAGAAGCTCGTGGGCCCTTCCGTGGGGTCTGCTCTGGTTACCTGTTATTGCACAAGTCACCCCCAAACCCAGTGGTTTAAAACTGTGATGATGTCTATACTCTGGGCAGGGCTGGTCAAGGTCAGCTGGTCTCGGTTCCTCCTGGTGTCACTGAGGTGGGTCCAAGGCTGGGCCTTTTCACTCTCTGTCAGGTGTTCACGCTGCCTGGCCTGGACTTCTTCCCAACGTTGTGTCCTGAGAAAATGGGAGCCAGGAGGAAGGCAAATGGCTGTTCCTGACCTACCCTCATGAGTCACAGAGGCCAACGCAGGGTCAGGGGCCGGGGGGAGGGGAGGCCCCACCTGTTGAGGGGCGGCTCTAGAAAACTCGGGGCTGGAAGACACTGTGGGCCCTGCAGAAGCTCATGCAGCAAGTTTCAGCTGATGGCGCTCATCACGGTCAGGAGCCAGCCTGCTGCCCAGCTTGTGCCTCGTGGGAGCCAGTATCTCCTATAACCACTCCATAGGTGGGGGTGCCTGGCCCCTGTAAGGTCATAGAAGTGACCGCAGCCTGAAGGACCCAGGTGTGGTGCCCCCTGCAAGTATCTGTGGGTCACCTGTAGGCCCCAGTCCAATGGGCCCATCTCTGTGGGTCCCCTGTGTGCTGTTGCTTTGTGATGTATCCAGCAGGTCCGTCCTTACCAGGATGAGCCAAAGCCAGGTGCTCAGGCAGCAGGGGGAAGGCTTGCCGACTCCTCCCTTCTGGGGTTAGAGTTCACCTGATTTCCCACAGCCCCCATGACCACTCATGAGTGTCTGCTGCACAGGGCACCCACAGGCATGGGGCATTCCAGCTTGCGGGCAGCCTGCTCAGCCCCCTTTCCAAGACACCCAGCAGTTAGGGCATGGACTGAGGAGGAACTTGTTCCAGATCTTGGCCCACCGGGTAGCCAGGTGGGGCTAGGGCTGGCTTCCCAGCAAAGGTGATGGAAGCTCTTCCTGTTCTTATCTGACTGACATCTGGGCCTGGAGCACACTCTCCTGGGACCAGGACATCCTCCTCTGGATCCCTAGCAGGTGGAGCTTGGCATCTCAGAAATCCCTACAAAATCTCGCCCAGGGGAGGCGAGAGCACAGGCCTCCCTGACACACATCCTCTGCAGGAGTTTGGACCAGGGTGGGGGAAGGTCAGGGAGGCTTCCACAAGTTACCAGGGTTAGGAGCCAGTTTCCATCATTCTGCATCCCCAGTGCAGGGGCTTCCAGGTCAGCCAGCCCCTCCCTGTGTACCTGGCCTCCCAGCAGCCCCCAGGCTGGTGGCCACAGGCCATTTGGTTCCCCATGTCCAGGGCTTGGCAGGGAGGCAGAGACTCAGCTCTCACGAGGGGCTGTGTGGGCTTAATCTGCTCTTCATCAGTGAGGGAGGGCAGGAGGAAGCCTTGAACCTGAGTCAGGAGATGGAATTCTAAGCCAGGCCCTTCCGCGGTTCCCCCATACATGACCTACATGGCCACACTCTCTCAAGACCTCGGTTTCTCTCTCTGCAGTGTGCGGGAAGGGGCCAGGCTCACCACATGGCCCTCGACCCCACAACCCTCCAGTCTCCACATGCTTCGACGTAGAGAAAATCCCTTTCCCCCGGCCTCACAGGCCAGCCAAGCGGCTTTGCTGAGGATGGAGCTCCGTCCAAACTCTGAGTCAAGCCCAGGTCCCAGTCCTGGCAGCCTCTCGCTGGCCGGTCAGTGTTGGCTGCGGGTCCTGGGAAGGGGATTTGGAATTTGGGGATTTATGCTTTAAGGCTCACATTTTCTTCCCAGTGGGTTTTCCTACTCTCATTCTCCAAGATGCTGGTTAAGGCCTCTGCTCTATCTAAACCTGGGCTGCTGTTCTCGGTAGCATTCGTGCAAGAAGGCCAAGTGTCCACAGGAAATGTGTCTTTCCAACACCACCACGCGGTTGGCAAGGGTGGTGTGGTGCGAGCCAGCAGGAAAGCCGAGGCGCCCCCGGGGAAGAGAGCAACCACCTTGGGACGTGCCTTGCTCCTCTTTCTCAATCTCTTTAACACCGAGACTTACAGACGACATTGTAGGATCCCGCTGGAAACCTCTGCTCTGGAGGCCCGGGCACCACCATGGCCACAGAGTGCGTGCACCTTGCTGTTCTGCATGTCCCAGCCCTGCTCATCTAGTTTGTGCCCAGGGGCCACATCGCAAGGACGTTCTCAAGAGGAAACACCACTGACAGCGACGGCCCAGGCTCAAACCTCAGGTTGGGTCGTCTCACTCTCTCAGAGGCAGTCGGCCCTGCTGGGGCCAGCATCCAGTGTGAGGAGGTACCAGGCTAGGGGGAGGGGCAGGCCCCAGTGTCTGGGTGCAGAGGCTGCGGGGGTCTCTTCTAATCCCACCTCACCTGGCACAGGGCAGGGAGGAGACACCTGGGTACCCACGGAGGTGCCAAGATGTGCACAGTGCACATGCACACACATGTGCTCACATGTGCCATATACACAGTTGTGTACACATGCACACACATGATGTATAGATGTGTCGTGCTTTGTACACACTGCACATGCTCACACACCATGCACATATTTGCATACACATGAGGACACACATGTAGTTCCTATACCACGTGTGATTGCATGTACTATGCACACTTTTGTGTGTTTGTACGTGAGTGACCTGACATGCATACACACCATGCACATGTGTGAATACACGTAAGTACATGCATGCTATGCACCATACATACCACATGTGCTCACTTGTGCTGTGCCCATGTGTGAATACATGCAAGTACACGTGTCATGCACACATGTCATGGTGCACGAACACACACCACACCAGTGCTCTTATGTGCCATGAACACACATGGGTGTGCACACGCTCTAAGAAGCAACTCAGATGGCTCAGCCCAAGGGTCCACAGTGAAGAGGCCATTCCAGAGGTGGTTAAAGGAGCTAATCCTGGGCCAGCAGGTGGTGTGGAGGTTAAGGCAGCTGGATCCCACGTGGCCCGCTGTGTGGTTTGAGTCCTGGACCCAGTGACTTGAAAATCACACAGGGCCAAAATCCTGAGAGAAGAATAGAGAAGGGATCCTCACTTTCCTTCTCGGTCTCTCTCTGGTGACCTCAAGTGCCCTATAGCAAAAACAAAAACACAAAAACAAATAACAGATGGGAATCCCCAGGTGGAAATCCAGGAGCCTGGCCTAGGAGCTGGGGAAGAAACAGAACAAACAACTCAGCACAGAAGAGTGGGGAGAATCAACCTCGCTCTGCCCCTGCAAAGCCAGAGACCAGCAAACCAGGGAGGCCCTTCCTTCCTCCCCCTCAGGACCCACTTCCCATCCGGAAAATCTGAGCAGACCCTGTGGCCGGGACTCCCTGGCTCCAGCCCGCTGGTGGCCTACTTTCCTCCTGGGCGCAGTAGGAATGTGGGTCAGCATTTGCTCACCTGGCCCAGGGCCAGAGCCAGTGGAAGGGAAAAACAGTAAGCCAGGGGCTTCCAGTGAGGCTGCAGCCCCACAGTCAGCCAGTCCCACCCTGGCCCGGAGGCTCAGGGATTAGGACCACGGGGAGGACACCCCCAGCCACCACATCTTCTCAGTGCGCAGGAAAGGGGTCCTAGACACACAGTCCCTCCTTCTGGAGATCAGAGGCCCACTCCTTGGCCTACTCCATGGCTTGCCCATTCATTCCTGGTGCAACCCTGAGACCAAGTTTGGCTGAGGTGTTCCATACCAGAGGACGGCACTTCACACTTCCGTGCCCATTTCTCCCCAGAGGCAAATGAAACAAGCCCCCTGTCCCCCTGTGGGTACCCTGACAGACCACATGCAGCCTGGTGGGCCTGGCAGTCTCTGGCCCTGCAGATGGAGCTAGACCTTCACCATCTTCCACAGTCCTCGGCCCCGCTGAGGCTGCCCCTGGGTGTCTTCCCCAGATTCAGGAGGGCATGGAGCCGTGCCTGCTGCAGCCCCCCTGTAGGGCTCTTCAGCCCCCAGGAAAGCAGGGCTGGAGGATGGCCCCAAGAAGAATTGCCACCACAGTCCCCTAGGGCAGGAGCAGAGCTGTCCACATTGCAATCTGAGGGTGGAGGAGGGGAAGCTGGACACGGTCCCAGCGCAGGGACACCCCTGCTACCACTGCCACTGCACTTTGTGGGCTCTCCTTCCTTCTACGGATTCTCGTGGATGTTTTCAAAGTGGGGAAAATAAGTCTTGTTTCTAATGATTTAAAAAAGCAGTCCCTTCTTCCCCCTCAACCACTTAAAAGAGTTTCTGCCTCAGGTGTCTTCCGGGCAAACCTAGGTGACAGAGAGGGAGGAGGAGAGGGACAGAGGGACAAAACTCCTACATACAGATTGCAAAGGCCCATCCCCATACCAAATGTAACAAGATACTTTTGTAAAAAAAAAAAAAAAAAAAATGTTTTTAAAAACTGAAATAATTTCGGACTTAGAGAAAAGTTGTAAAAACAGTGGAATTCCCGTACCTCCTCACTCAGCTTCCTCCAGTGCTAGCCCTTTAAAGAACCCTGGTGGGATAGTGAAACCAGGAAGTCCCTTTTGGTACCATGTTATTAACAAAGCTGCAGACCTCACTGGAGTTGCTGCAGTGTTTCCACTCCTATTCTGGGTCCTCGTGCTGCGTTGAGAGAAGGGGCCTGTGGAGACACAACCTGTGAGCACAGAAGGTACCAGAGCATCGTCATCGTATGGCCTGTACGGCAAAATTGCCAGGAAAACCAGCCAATAATCAGAACAGAGGATACGAGATTGATACCGAGATGAGCCCAAGGGCCTAGGGAGCTGGTTCCTACACGACTGATCAAGTAATGTGACTCCCAGTCTCAGCAGACACTCATGCGCATGTGCCCCAAATCCTGACAGGACAGAGAAGGAGGAGATGGGATGGTGGTGTGACCATGCCCCACTGGGGGGTGCTTTCTCCCTCTCCCTCCTTCTCTGTCTCTCTCTCTGGTGAATGCACACATCCTCTGACAATTTAAAAAAAATTAAAAAAGATGAGGCTAAGAGGGGAAGAAATTAATCCAAGCCAGGAACCATTGCATAAACACTACATACCAATATGTGCATTAAAGAAGGGATAGAGTGCTGAAGGTGACGAAGGTATTACTCATAAACCTCAAAGCATCAAACACAGAAGCTAAATCCATAAAACCAACTGAAACACAAAGGCCCCTTGAGGAATGCACGGTGCAGAAGCTCTCACTGCTTGTCTTCACGATTGGGTCTAGCAGCAACAGAAAAATGATCACAGACCAAGATAAAGACCGATCTGCACAGTCCTCACAGGAGACAGTACTTCTTACAACTCCTTACTTGTTACGTTCTTGACTGCAAAGAAAATCTCAATGAACTAAAAGGTAGATTAATTAAAAGGATTTTCTTATAACCCAACAAGATTTAAAATAAATAGTGGGACCAGTAACTGGTGCAGTGGTTGTGTAGCTAGACTCCCATGTAGTTGACTGTTGTTCAAGTCCTGGACCCAGCGACTTAAAACTCATGCCAGGTGGGGAACCAGCAGTTGGCGTAATGGCTATGTCGCTGGACTCCCACGTAGTCGACTGCGGTTCGCGTCCCGGACCTGGTGGCTTAAAACCCACGCCAGGCGCGTGTGCGTGCGTGCCCAGGATCCCGAGAGGAGAATGGAGGAGAAGGGATTGCGGCGTGGCCGTCCCCTCTGGGGGGTGATTTCTCTCTTTCTGTCTCTCTGTCTCTGTCTGTCTGGCGAGCGCACGCGTCCTATAGTGAAAAACCTCTCAAAAAAAAAAAAAGAAAGAAAGAAAACTCATGCCAGGCACTTGTGCGTGTGTCTCCAAGACCCTGAAAGGAGAGTAGAGGAGCAGGGATTGTGGCATGGCAATCTCCTGCGGGGGATGATTTCTCGCTTTCTCTCTCTGTCTCTGTCTTTGTCTCTCTGGCAAGCGCACGTGCCCTATAGCAAAAATCTCTCTTAAAAATAAATAAAATAAATAGCAAAAAGTGCCACCTCTTCCTCCCAAACATAACCACTCAGAAACTGAGGAACACATTTCTAGATAACCTATCAAACAGAAACTCAAATCCGAATAGGGGTGCTCCCCGGAAAGCTGCGAAACATGAAGTCCTCCCCAGGCAGAGAACTCAACCCCTCCAATGCATCTGCTAGTCTTCAGAGGAAGGGATTAACGTGAGCACGTTTGTGTCCTTCGCAAAGAAGCAGAATGAGAATATCAAACACATTTTTCTAGAGTAAAAAGAGGGAATTTGAACATAAAACAAAGTAGAAAACAAATAAGGAAAAAGGAGAAAATTATTGCCTTTTATCTGAAAGAAAGTAAAATAGAAACTTATTGCCCTGCCCAGAAACCTTGACGTGTAGGGGCCTGCTTATGATTGTGAGCAAGAAGGAAGAGTCAAGAAAAGACTGGATACAATTTGCAAATCTAGGGCAGCTATTTGGAGATCTACAGCAAACAGGTAAAGTTTCTTTTCTTTTTTTTTTTTTTTTCTTTTGGAGAGGTTTTTGCTATAGGGTGCGTGCGCTCGCCAGAAAGACAGAGAGAGACAGAGAGACAGAAAGCGAGAAATCACCCCCCAGAGCGGATGGTCACACCGCAATCCCTTCTCCTCTGTTCTCCTCTTGGGATCTTGGGCACGCACACACATGCGCCCGGCATGAGTTTAAGCCACCGGGTCTGGGACTCGAACCACAGTCGACTATATGGGAGTCCAGCGACATAGCCATTACACTAACTGCTGGTCCCAATTTTCTAGTGCATATAAATTGCCAAAATAATTTCAAAGAAGGGGAAAACATAAGTAGAGGAACACAAGAAACTGGAAAGGTGATTAAGCATGAGCCAGTAAAGGAAACACCAGGAACAGATGTTCACAGCTGAGGACGAGCTAACCTGGAGTTGGAAGAAGAGTCACTGGTGTTATTTTAACCTTTCCAGATATGAAAAGATGGAAAAGTCTATAATTCATTTCTTGAAACCAGTATAATTTAATACAAAAACCTGAAGTGGAGCAAAAAGAGAAAACTATAGACTAATAACCCTCTTAAATGGAGACGCAAAAAATAAAAATAAAAACAAAAACCAAAACAAAACTAAAGAGACTAGAAAATAGAAAACAATAAAATGCAAAATTATATATAGTTGTCCCCCTTTCCATGGGGGATATGTTCCAAGACACCCCCCAACCCCTGCCATGGTTGCTTAAAATTGTGGAGAGTCCTGAGTCTTATGCTGTATAGACTGTTTTCCCAGTCTAATGACAGAGGTGACTACTAAATGACCAGAAGGCAGGTAGTATACACAGCATGGATACTTTGGACTGGGGATGGTGCACATCCCAGCTGTGACAGAGGGGGACAGCATAAGATTTTATAATGCTATTCAAAATGGCACACAGTTTAACTTATTGTTCGTTCTAGAATTTTCCATTTCGTCTTCTCAGACCGCGGTTAACCACAGGTGACTGGAACCTCAGAAAACGAAACCACAGGTAAGGCGGAGGTTACTGTACTGTGACTGAGCTGGTCTAGGCCAGACTCACGAGGGTAATCAATGATTGAGTCATTTCATGAATAAATCAGCAAAGAAAATGTAGAGAACCAAATCAAAAAGAAATTTGACCAGAGTCAGCAATCATTATTAATAATACTACTAATTAAAATAGGAAGAAAACCTGGGGCCAGCAGGCGGTGTAATGGTTAAGGCACTGAATTTCTATATGGTCGACTGTGGTGGGATCCCCCGACTTGGCAGCTTGAGAATTGCACAAGACATGTGTACATGTGTGCCTCAAATCCTGAGAGAAGGGAGTAATGAAGGAAAAAGGATTGCAGTGTAGCCATCCCACCTGGGGTGGGATGGGGGTGATTTCTCACTTTTCCTCTCCGTCTCTTTTTAGCAAACACACCTACCCTATGGCGAAAACCTGAAAAAAAAAATCAGGAAGAAAACCTAAAAGCTCTGTACACAGCAATGGCCAAGATCACTCTACATGGAAAACTCAAACTGTTTCAATAAATGCAGAGACTGGCGATGCCTGCTGTTGTCATTAGTCTTCAACATTTTCTTGGGGCCTCTATAAAATGCAATAAGAAAATCCAATACATGACATAAACGTAAGAAAAAATAGATAAAATAACTTATTTTTTGTTGATGATAGTATTGTAAGGCGAGAGACTCCCCTAGTTTAAAAATAAAAAATCAATAAGAAAATGTAATACATGATGAACATCCGAAAAAAGAATAACTTCCCACTTCTCTATCATAAACACATGGAAATTTGGAGATTCCATTCAAAATAGTAGCTGTGTAGCTGGAGTAAAGTTAAGATGCTATAACAAGTAGCTCCAACAATAAGGTGATTCAAAGAATACATTCATTTCTCTCTCACATGTGTACGAGTTCAGAACAATTGGGTGGGCTGCTCTGTTCCTCACATGCTCAGGGACCGTGTTTCTTCTACCATGCTTCCCCTCTTGCATTTGGGGATATTGTTCTTGGTTGCAGGTTTAGGGTAGGTTGCAGAAATACCCATGTCAAGTTCTCAGAAGGGTGAAGGGTGAGGGGGGAAGTGCCATGTTTTCTGAGACCACACCTTGGAAGTGGCTTGTGTTGCCTCTGTTGTGTTCTCATGGTTAGCATTTGGTCAGGGCCTGCCCTGCCCATAGGGGGCTGGGATACAATCTCATTGCATGCCTGGAGAAGGGACCACTATCACAGAAGGGGACCAGCCTGGTGAACTGCAGAGTCATTCCGTGATGACGGAAACTGAAAGACATTGTGATAAGAAAGACAGGATTTGATGCGAGAAGAATGTAGGTCGATCAAAGAGAGCTGAGCATCTTGGGAGGACTTAGCCATGGAAACTTCGTTCTAATGAGCGAACATTCACTTCTGATTAGAATCCCAATGTTCAAATTTAATGAAACTTAAAATGACTATGAAAGAGTAATGAAAAGAAAGAAGAATGAGGGGCAGAAGAGGCCCTGGCTCACTCGGATGGCGACGTAGCCGCTCTGCACCTCAGTCTCCACATACATCAGTGGAAGTAATGACTGACCTGCCATGAGTCGTCATCATGTGAGGAGGGCCCACGACAGCCGTAGGCGCCTGGCAAGCACACATGTGCTAGCTCGCCTTAGTAGAATTCTTTCCATGTGGCTTTAACATATTTGAAAACCACTGCAGTCCATCTGTGTGCTGTTGACACAGACAGTAAATTGTCCAGAGCCACCAAATAAAGTGCAGTTTCAAGAAGCATATGAATGACAAAGAAGAACTTTAAAGTCAGCGGGGTAAGAGGCAGTTGGATTAAGTCGCAAACAAACACAATAACACATCGTACAGTGAGTGGAGCAGGAGGGGCCTTTCCGGGACTCAGCTGCTGCAAGTGCTTAGGGGCACTGGGTCAGGGGAAGCGGGTGCTGGGAGGACCGGAGAGCTGAGCTGGGGGAGACTCAGCTCTAAGAACCACGGGCTGCATAGAGGCAGGTTGGCCTCAGAACAAGCTGCCCTGAGGTGTCCAGAGACTGGACAATCCCAGGGGGTCCTAAGACAAGTTTCTAGCATGGGTGGGCATGGGGGTGGGGGGAGGACATTGGCTCAGCATCCCCGAGGATCCGTCCAGCTCTGAGCTTCTCTCCCTTCATGACATTATCAATCTGCTGGAGAATGTGTAAACCATGAGCTAACTGAGTGGGGAATGTGGTTTCCTCTGGCTGCCCCCGCAGCAGACAGCTGTTCCCCATCAGCCCAGCGCTGACCCGCCACCTCCATAGCTGCTCCTTGTTTTCCAACAGGAAGCCGGAGGCTGCAGGCCAGGTGTAGACACCCCTCCTATCACACTCCATCTGCCGCATGGACTTCACAAGGCTAGGGTGGGGGATAGGGGGGTGGTGAAAGGGGAAGATTCAGTGGGAAGAGCTAGGATGGAAGCACAGGACCAGGACCAGGGGTGGGGAGCACCCTGAAAATAAGTCCTGTGCCCATTAATGGCTTGAATGTTTGTATGTGTCTTAGTCCACTGTGTGCTGCTATAAGAGAATACCACAGATTGGAAAATTTATCAACAGAAATTTTTTGGCTGACTGTTCCAGAGGCTGGAAGTATAAGGTCAAGGCACTGTCAGGCTCAATGTCCAGTGAGGCAATTCTCCTCTTTCAAGAAGGCACCTAACGGGACCAGCAGTTGGAGTAATGGCTATGTCGCTGGACTCCCATGTAGTCAACGGCGGTTCGAGTCCTAGACCCGGTGGCTTAAACTCACACCAGTGTGTGTATGTGTGTGCCCAAGATCCCGAGAGGAGAATGGAGGAGAAGGGATTGTGGCATGGCCATCCCCCCTGGGGGGGGGGGATTTCTCACTTTCTGTCTCTGTCTCTCTGTGTCTTCCAGGCAAGCTTATGTGCCCTGCAGCAAAAACCTCTCAAAAAAAAAAAAAAAAAAAAAAGGCATCTAGCACACAACAGGCTCACATGGCAGGTGGCCAACCCTACTCCCAGAAGCCCTTTCTATTGTGATGTAGTCCATTCATGACGGCAGATCCCTGGTGACCTATAAGGTCCTGCCTACTGAGACTGTTCCACTGGGGATAACGTTTCAACACGAGTCTTGGAGGGGACAAAAATATTCAAACCATAGCATTGCACCCCTGATCCGCTAAACTCATGCTCTCTCATATGCAAAATCCATTTATCCCATCCCAGCAGCCCCACACTACTCAACTTGTCTCAGCAACAACCCCAAAGTCCAGAGTCTCGTGAAAATCAGATGTGGGTGAGATTCAAGGCACAATTCCTCCTGAGGCAGATGCCCTTCAGCTGTGAGGCCGGAAAAATCAAACGAGTTACATACTTCCAAACTACAGTAGTACGACAAGCTTAGGATAGAGTCCCCTTCCAAAAGTGAGACCTAGGCAAGAAGAAGAGGGCAGTAGGCCCCAGGTAAATTCAAAATCCAGCAGGAAAAACAGTAGTTCTTAAGGTTTGAGTATAGTCCATGTCCAACCTTCTGGAGACACTGGGGTGGGCACTGGGCCCCCAGGGTTCTGGATAGCCCTGCCTCCATGCTTTGCTGGGGTCCAGCCCATGCAGCAGCTCTCATGGCTGGAGTCCTATACTTGCAACTCTTCTAAGCTAGGGTTGTATGCTGGTAGCTCCACAGTTCTGGGGTGTCTGGAGTGGCCCAACTGTCATGATTCTACTAACCATTGCCCTAGTGGGGGCTTTTTGAGGTGGCTCCACCCCTGCCACAGGTTTTTGCCTGGGCCCCTCAGCTGTCTGACACGCTTTAGAATCTAGGTCTCTAGGTGGCGGCCACCATGGCCCCACAGTAAGAAGATGCCATTGATGGAATCCTCACCAGACACCCAACCTGCCAGAGCCTGGACTTGAGATTTCCCATCTCCAGAACTGAGAGAGAGGAAAAAACAAAACAAAACAAAAACAAAAAACTGTTGTTTATGAATTATCTAGCCTGAG